CCGGACAAGCTTTCCAGCAGAAGTGAAGCACCCCAGACCAGTCCCCGCCCCCCAGCCCAGGCCAGTTAGCCCACAGACCTATCCTCCTGGGAGGCTTGGAGAGGTTTGGGGGAGTGCAGTCTGAGCTTGTGGATCAGCAGAGACCCCTAGTGGCCTAGGGGTGGATGGCAGACAGGGGGTCCCCATGGGTAGTGCCGTCCCCTCCCAGTTCCTACCCCTCCACACCTGCTCACCCCCAACAAACAATGGATTCTAGGGAATGGCATTGGTTTTTCTAAATCCTCAGTCGGGATGACCTTTGCGGTGTCATCTAGTTCATGTCCTCTGTTCCACAGGCCTCCTAGTAAGATAAACATTCCAGCTATTTCAAAATTACTTAAAGGAAAATGTTTCTGTCTTTGCCTTCCTTTCTTCCTCCCATCAGTTTATTCTGGGAATTTCTTCCTTTGGTGGGAATTTTGTTTCCCCGGCCACAAAAGCCCTTTCCCTATTGACAGTGAAGAGTGGTGGCTCCAGGGACTGGGCTGGCTCCCCCCGGACCAACACCAGACTATGAGATCAGAGTTCATAGCCACAGTCTGTTCCTCTGCACCACACCCGCCCCACCCCAACACCCTGTGCTTCCAAAAGCAATCCCAGAACCTTTCACTTTTTCTTAGGAAGGCCTTCCTTTTGAACAAACCATCTTTTTTTGTTGTTGTTCCAAAATGAGATTAGGAGTAAAACTTACCCAGTGACTACCGTGACTGATGGCCTGAGGCAGTGAAGGCTTTGCAGCTGGTCCACGGGTAGGGTTAAGGAGGCACGAGCTCTGGGCCGTTCTAAAGCTGCTCCCCTACCTTGCTTGGCCTGCTTCTGAGAGGCTCTCTGCCTCTCTGTGTCTCAGGGAAACAGCGCACAAGGATCAGCAGTGGCACAGCTTCTGGGGAGGCCTGTGGAGCCTAGGTCGTGGGTTTTCATCCAAGTCCTGGGTCACCTGGTCCAGACCTGGAGACATCATTCCCAGAAAACTCCCAAGGAAGTTTTCAGCTTTAGGGCCTTGTCCTGCTTTGGAAAGCAAATCTTACTTCTAGAAGGTAGGCGCTCACACACACCCCAGTTTGGTGGCTCCACCAGAAGGCCAGGCTTCCAGCACTTTGCAGAGGCTCAAGGACACTACGGCCATGTTCTTGGTGGGATGAGGCAGAGTTCTTGAGCTAGATAACCAGCTCAGAGCCCCTGGTTCCTGGACAACTTGGGCAGGGATATGAGACTCTGGATGCTGAAGAATGTCCCTAAAACTGTATAACATGTGCTTCTCACCTCTTTATGGCGCTAAGGAGACTAGAAGGAAACAGCCCTATTTGGGTCCAGACAGAGCATCACCCACCTGCTTGGGAGTCTGATGAGCCCCAAGAGGAAGCTGCCAAGAAGATAAAAATACTGTGTGCTTAGCCAACATTTTCTCCCTAAGGGGCTTCCGTTGCTGCCACAGTATGGAAGACCTAGACTCTTCCCAGAGATTCAGAGCCCCGTTGTCTCCACAGAGGCAAAGGCTCCAGAGAGCCAGACCCAGGGCTCCCCTGGAATGGCTGCAGTCAGGTCACAGAGCTCGTCCAAGGCAGAGGCGCAGCTCCCACTTCTGGGGCTTGGCCAGGGCCCAGGAATGTCTTGGGCAAGGAGGCAGGAATGAAGGGGGCACAAAGCAGGGACTGACCCCCATGGCTCAGTACGCAGCCCCGGCTCAGTCTCCACTGCTGCGAAGGGAAGAACCCAAGCAGCTCTGGGACCTTCTAGAACAGGTTTGAAATCCTGGCTGTGCCAAACTCAGCTCCCTCGCTGAGTGGCTTTAGCCAAAGGAAGTGGAAAGTGACTTATTGGGTGATGACGTGTGCCAGGCACCCTGCTTATGTCAAGCCTGGGTATCTGACTCCAAAGCACATCTCTCCAAGCGAGCATCAGTGCTGTACTCAGAGCCAAAGAACCTGGGTTTGAGGCACATCTGTGTGACTCTAGGAAGCCACTTCAGTTCTCGGGGCCTCAGTTGCTCTGCAGGCAAATAGAATCATCTTTCCCAATGATGTGGGAGTATTTCATTAAAATGAAATAGTGTGATAAAAGAATGTGAATATTCAACGTGTGTAATACATAGGTAGTTTCAGAACCGTTGATCTTTGGGACCAGCCGAGGGCAGTTTTTACAAATACAGATCGCAGAGGGTCTGGTTCCATGACCCTGAAACTCTTTGTCTTTGAAAACACGACAGGGCTCAGGCCGGTATGTGAAATAGGTCATATTTACAAATGTAGGGGTTGGATATTATTTCCCCAGACCTCGGAGAGGCCCAGATTTTTCTTCCTCTTTTTTGCCCAGCTAAGATGGAGCCAGCCCTGGCCCTTCCTGTGGTCTCTGCCCCTGAACGTCTCTTCTCCATTCCTTTGCTGATAGAACTTGGCTGCCTCTCAGCATGTCCCAACCAACGACCCCCAAGTGGGAGGAGACGGTAGAAAAGAGAAGAATCTGATCTAATGCATAAATTGCCTTTAGCTACCCAAACCCAGGACCTGGCACCCAGGCCTGCAAGACCACAGGGCAGGGAACCAGCCAGAGTCTGAATAAGTAGATGAAGTATCCGGGGGATAGCTCACCCTTCTGCCTCTGGCTAGCAAAAATGTGTGTTGGTTGAATCCCAAGGCACACATCTTGTATTTATTTTACTCATTTCACTTGTGTTTTCCTAACCTTGCCGGATACCTTTTTTCGGGGGAAAAAAATGTCTGGGGCAACTTTTTATGTTGGAAATTCCCAAATGCCTCTCCCCGATGAGGAGCACCATGGGATGAAGTTTCCAGACGAGAGAGAGAATTGAGAAGTCATTTCCATTAGTTTTAGGGTGAAAGGCATAGAGGGACAATACCCTCTTCTGTTACATTTACCTTCTAGCTTTGCTTCAGCTTCAAATAACATCAGCATTGGTTTGCATCCTATGAGAATGGTTGGCAAGGGTATTGGGATGAGGGCAGAATCAATCTTAGATGGAGACAGAGCTGAAAACAGGCTTTGAGGGCTCCTGGATGTCAGCGCTGAACCAGACACATTTTATAAATGAGACTGATGCTCCCAGAAGGGCTGGGATTTGCTGATTCCCAAATCCATGGTCTTTGCTCTCGTGCCCATGCTGCCTCTGTACTTCTGGGGTTTGAGTGTTTCACCTCTTCACCTTGCCTCCAGTAACTATGTACTGAGCCCCTGTGGTTCCAGGAGCACCTTGTAGCCCGGTTCTTGGCACGGGGTGGGTATTCAGTGTTTGTGGTTGAAGGAGGGCTGTGTTCTAGTCCCCTTGCTGTGAACCAGCTGGAGGTCTTGGGCGAGTCACTTGGGTTTCTAAGAAGCCTCAGTTCCTTATTTGTGCTCAGAGAGTTGGAATACGTAGCATTTAAGGGCTCTTCCAGTTTTTAGGTTTTGGAAGGTGGGCCTCAGTATTAGACTTGAACCGGTTGAGTGGGAAGACCAAGAGTTGGCTCCAAGAAACTCTAGACCTTCCCTGGAGGCTGAAAGCCCAAGCTTCTCCCCCAGTCCTGAAATAAAAGTTAGGAAGCTTGGGGCCTTCTTTTCCCCCAGTGGTAGTCTATTTTCTTCACTGTTTATTTATCTAAATTCTTACAGCGCATGCATTAGGACTCCAAGCTGTGAGCATGACAGAGTCAAGCCCTTGATGGTCTTCAGACAGGTTATGTGGGTCAAGCCATTTTCAGATGAAGCACTGTGGTCAGAGGAGCCCAGAGACCCAGGCAGGTCTCCCACCACTCCTTCCATGGCACCTCACTGGCCACCTTTCTTGCTTTCTCCAAAGAAAACCTGGAGACCCCAACCTCCTCTCACACACCACAAATTCTCCCCATCCTGCAAGCACCCAGCCCCCAGGCAGGGAGGGTTTATTGCTGCTTCCTGGAGGCTGTGGCCGAGCTCCCTCCCCTCGAGCGTGGCATGCCGAGTCCCTCAGCGTCAGGTCCAAGCCCTTCCTGGCCCAGCTGTGACATGGCAATGACGAGGCAACCAGAGTGCCAGGAATAAACGTTCTTCTTATCTGCTTTGGCGGCTGCAGAAACAAACAGCAAGGACTGTTTCCTGGCAGAAATGGGGCCTGGCAGGTTGACAGCATGGGGCAAAAGGGGGCCTCTGTCTGCAGTGGGATTCTGGGCTGGCAGCCTGGGGAAGAGGAAGGAATTGATGAAACGTGCTGAAGGGTGGCTTGAGGTCGAGGCTCCTATGACATGCCCTGAAGCAGGCTGTAAAGAGGCGAGGGCAGCTGTTTCTATATTATTCTTCTTGAACAACAATTTTAGTGTCCGCTGTGTGCCAGGCACCTGAGTTAGGTGCTCAGGATTCAAAGATAAAATGTTGGAAGCCATTTGTCCTTGGAGCTGGGTGTAATAAATAATGTGATATAGGTACGTGAGGAGGTAAGTTTCTCGGGGGGAGAGGGTGTCTGAGAAGGCGTCTGGAGACAGTTCAGTGTGAAGGGTGAAGAGGTGCTAGGCAGATAAAGCCTGGTTCTCAGCCTGGGCCACATGTTAGAACCACTTAGGGAGCTCGTAAAACACCAAAGCCCCGGACACACCCCCAACCAATTGAATTACAGCCTCTGAGTTTAGAACCTGGGCATCAGTATGGGAAATTCCAAAGTGAAGCCAAAGTGGGGACCGCTGGTTTATGAGATGATTTGTGTCTCAGGCTTCAGAAGAACAGAATAGCTAAGTGGATAAACATTGTAGGTTGGTTGGCTGGCTGGTTGGTTGGTTAGTAAGTTGGTTGGTAGATTGGTTGGTTTTCAATATTGAGCCTTTTTATTCACTGCTTCTAGAGGGCCGTGAGAATTGCCTTTCAGATTTGGGCCCTGGGAAGAGCAGAAAAAAGGGAGGAGGGAAGACAGGAAGAGAGAAAGGGAGAGGAGGAATTTGGGGCTGTGGCTTCTAGGCATTGAGTGACATTGTCACAAACCACGCCTCCCTTACTGCCAGGACCTCCTGCAGAATTCCCCCAATTCCATGTCTGGAGTCTCCAATAACCCCCAGGGGATTGTGGTCCCAGCCTCAGCGCTCCAGCAGGGCAACATCGCCATGACAACCGTCAACTCACAAGTGGTGTCAGGTCGGTGCGAGGGATTGTGGGGACATTCCGGGGAGGAGGAGGGGTGGCTCCAAGGGGATTCCAGGGGGTGGGGGCAGGGTACCATACAAACAATCTCAGGAAATGGGAGGGGTGCCCCCTCCCAAGAAGGGGATTCCAGCTCAATTTCTTGACCACAGCGTTCTGTAAGTTTATAGATGACTAGCACCAAGACCTAATTGTGATATTTTGGAACAAATTTGAGTCAAAGTCTCATGAGCCCCTCAAAGACCAAGTAAAGCTGTTGTCCCTGCCCCCAAACACTTCCCACCAGAGGCTCTGTTCTCTGGACCCCATTCCCACCCCACCTCACCCCTCCCCAGCAGGGGCTTGAGAGCCTCCAGAATTGAAGGTCTTTACGTGGGAATGCCAAGTGAGTTGGAAATCCGTCTTGCCCTCACTCCTACCCACCCTCATGGCAGGGGACCCAAAAACTGGTTGTCTCCTCAGGTGGAGCCTTATACCAGCCAGTTACCATGGTAACCTCCCAGGGTCAGGTGGTCACCCAAGCAATCCCCCAGGGAGCCATCCAGATCCAGAACACACAGGTGAGTGTGCGTGCACAGGTCTGTGCTCATGTGCACTGGTTGTGGGGGGAGGGGAACAATCATAACTGTTTGCTCCCTGCTAGGCCCTTTACACAAGTGACTTACGTAATCACGTTATTCCTTTAAGAGGTGTCATTACGCTCAGTTTCCAGAAGGGAAGCTGGATGTCGGAAAGGCTTTATCAACTCCTGGGATTTCCCTCCCCCTAGGGGTTACATCAAAGGATCCTGCACCTCCTATCCCTGGTTTCTAGCCCGAGCCACTCCATAACTCAGTGGGATAGAGTGCACACACAGGTAGGGGGAGGAAGACGATCTGAAGTCAGGCCTGAGATGTGACATTAATTCTGTCATCTTGGATAAGTCACCTGACCTGTCTGGGCCTCAGAGTTCTTACCCACAGAGAGGGGATGAACACCACTTGCACAGAGCCCTGCCAGCTTCCAGGGCTGCTATGAGTGCTAATCACAGTAATGGGGAGGAAGGTGCTTTGCAAACAGTAAACTAACCGAGAAATGCTAATAACTAGTGGATGGTTTCTGGCAAATTTGTCTCTCCTCTACCCTCTGCATGTCCCTGTTTCCTCTGTGTCTTCTCTCATCCCCTTCTCCCTACCCCTCTTCCTCCTCCTTCTTCTCCCTGTCTCCCATTCTCTGAGGGGCTGGTGCAGAGTGAAAGGAAAGGTGACCTCCCCAGGGCCCTGAGAATGAGTTGGGAAAGGGGGTTGGCAGCGAGAGCCTGCCGTCACTATGGCAACAGGTCCCTAGCTGCTGGCCCGCCAGGCTGCTGATGCTGATTTTTTCTCCACGTGCCCTGAAGGTTAACCTTGACCTCACCTCCCTCCTGGACAATGAGGATAAGAAGTCCAAGAACAAACGAGGAGTCTTGCCCAAGCATGCCACCAATATAATGCGTTCTTGGCTCTTCCAGCATCTCATGGTGAGTGTGCGTGGATTGGGGGTGTGGAGTGAAGCACAGGGTACTAATAACCCCCCAGGTTCTGGACTCTGCCGTCCTTCCCGGATCTACAGAGGGCATGGGCCCAGAGAGAGGATCGCTGGTAGGGATCTCATCTTCCAGAGGCCAAGGCAGAGAGGAGAGGCTTTAGTGGGACCTCAAGCTGGGAGGCTCTCTCTGGTGCTTGCTGCTGCCACAAAGAAGGTGACATAAAGTGAGGGAATGAGGACAGACATGTTCTGAAGAGAGCTAAGGACTGGGCAAGGGTTTCACAGATGGGGTGAGATTCTGGGGGCCAGGACTGCAGTTGCTACAGGGAGCCACGTGCTCTCCTGCTCTTCTCCTGGGGAAGAAAATGTGGATCCTCAGCCCAGACTCTTCTGTTCCCTGGAGTCCTCACCATGAGGGTAGCAGCAGATGTGTGTCCCCTTTTCCCTGTCCCTCTGATCAGAGTGGCCAGATGGGGCACCATGCTGGAGGGCGGTGGCTGCAACCGTCAGGTCTAGAGGAGCAGCCCAGGGAGAAATCTCCTTCCTCACACAACCAGCTCAGCTCTGGTGCAGAACAACTGACTGCCTTCATGAGCCTCTTTGGCCGCTTTTGTGAAAGGGCGACAGAGCCTTGGGTTTAAGCACGTGCACCCACACCTCTGTGCGCCCAGGGTGAGGACATAGATTCTGGAATACCAGCAGGCTTGAAGCAGTCTGCGAGGTTTTGAGGTCTTAGCCTGGCATGGAGGTACCAAGTTAGATAAAAAACAAACACCAAGAGACTGTCTTGGCCTTGAGGTAGAACCAGGCATGAGGGAAACTCTTTCTTCAGAGGGGAGAGAATTCAAACGGGTCATGGAAATTAATCATTTGGTCAATCAACAGCTCTTTATTTGAAGTGGAGTACCTCCAGACACCATGGAGCCTGAGCCTGGGTTGTGTTTCTCCAATACGGGCATCTTAGGGACTCCGGCCCAGAAGCGCTAGGCCCACACACCCAGTGAACAGTAAGAACTGTTCTGTGGTGACCGATGTGGGGCTGGGGCTCTGCCTCTCCCCCCCACATGTCCATCCCCCCAGCTCTAGGGTGTTGGGGCCACCCCAGGGCTTTGCTGAGGAATCCACTTTGAGAGTACCACCTAGAGAACAAGGAGGAACCTAATTTTGAGAGAGGGGGCTGGAAGGCCAAGGGTCAAGGTGAGGGGAAGAGGTCAGAGCCTAGTGATGAAGCCCGGGAGCCAGGGCCAGCACCATCCTCAGGCCTCTTGAGAGCAGCTCTGACTTAGTGGCTGACGATGGGGGCAGGAATGGCCAGGCCTCCTGCCTGTTGTGGTTTTCCACACTGTCAGAGAGCTGCAGTGGGCCTGCAAGCCCGGCGTCTGTGCTACATGGGAAGAGGGACTCCCTGAGGAAGGATCTTTCTCATGCACTGGTGCATCACACCCAAGATGGCGGCAGCCGCTCTTCTGCTCCCCATGTCCCCCTTCCCCCCAGCCCCCCACCATAGGTCCAGAGCTGGCTGCACACACCGCCGCGCAGTGATGTGTGACCCCAGGCTGGGGGTGTGCTAGAAAGCTCACGGGGTCCTCAGGCGGCCAAACCAGAGCTCCGATCTAGACTTTACCTCTGACTCTGAAACCTGGACACACTCACGTCTTGGGAAGAAAACCAGGAAGCAATTCAGTAATTGCCAAGGCCTTTGCACATTGAGGTGCTTAATAAATGTTGGTGCCCCGTCCTTCCTGCCCCACCTCCCCCACCCCATGCATTTTTGACTGATGTGAACACACCTCCAACCTCACTTCTGAGGGGGAGAAAAGGCTAGGAGGGAGAGGAGGCTGCCTGACCAATTCCCCTACACACTAGCCCAGTCGCTCAGGCCAGCACCCAGAACTGACCCCCATCACCCGAGCCGGGGCTTCTGCCTCAGCTACCTGCCTCTCCCTATTTGCATCTCCCCCCTGATGTAAGTCTGAGCCTGAGACTGGAGGATCATCTTATCAGCCCCTCCTAACTGTGGCTCCCCTCTGACCTTGGACTTCAAAGTTCACAGGCTCCCCTCTTGCCCCCTTCCGGCTGAGCGCCCCTCTATAGCTTAGGGTCATTTCTTTCCACTCATGGCCACTGTCCCCTGGACCAGGGATGGCAGAGGAAGGTAGAGGTGGAGAAGAGGGGCGGGGGGGAGTCACTGAGCACAAAGCAGAGAAGGAAGGATCCAGATCAGCTCTACCAAAGGGACCAGGAACCATGGCGAGGGCTTGCTGAAAAGCATGAGTAAGACTTTCTGCTCACATCCTCCCAGGCCTGGACCCTCTCCAGCTCAGAGTGCACTCAGTGTGGATACTATTAATAAAGCACTTAACATTGGCAAAGTCCTCCCCCACTTAATGCCTTCCTCACAGCGGCCATCAGGAGAGGACAAGGGAGTGACCCCCAGGCCTTTAAAAAAAAGTCACAACTCAGAACTTGTGGACTGGGGAAGGAAGGGTCTGTGGAGAAGTCCAGGCTCTAGGGACACAGCCTGGCACAGCTATCCTCTGCAGGCCCAGCCTGGGCCGTGGATCAGTCTGGCTACCCAGATCCCAGTGGGCGCACAGGCCCCCAAGCCCCAGCTCAGGAGAGGCTCTGAAGACTGGGTTAACAAGGGCACAGCGAAAAGAAGCTAGGCTTCAGAGCCAGACGGACAGGGTTACAAATTGAGGCCCCGCCACCAGCTGCGTAATCTCTCTGAGTCGATTTCTTTGAAAAAAGATAATACCCGTTTCCCACGCTTGTAAAAATTAAATGAGAGAAAATATATGAAGAGCGAAGCCTGGTACATAGGCACATGTAAGAAATGCGAACCCTCTTTGAACTGTCTAGAACCGTGGACTAAGAGCAAGTTTTTGAGAATCAGGCACACAGGTTGTAGAGATTAGAGGTGGATGCCCTACCTGTTGTTCTGATCTGTAACACCTACTGATTTTTACCATCATTTCATTCTAAAAACATACTGACATATACTCTTGCTTACCTGATCTGCGTATATATGTCTGTGTCAAACGTACGTGTCTCATAGCTCTGACTCAACTGTAAATTGCTCCAGAATAGGGATCATACTTTATACCTTTTATGGGGGCCCTAAAGATTTGATTCCCAAAGTGTGTACCTTTATAGGATGTTATAGGTGTTGCTGTCAAGATGGGGTGAAAGAGCTTGGGAAAATCTGAGTTATACAAAGTTCAGCTCAGTTCTTGATTCTTAGTGTACTAGGGGCATCGTGAATTCGCAAGAGGGGGCACAGTTGGAAGCTTTCCCCAAACATATTTGATTACGCGAGGTCCCCCTCTCCTACCTTGCTTTCACTGTGTCTTTGAGGAACAACTCTGAGACTACAGCTCTTGAGAACTCTAACTCTGCAGTAATGATGTATGGCCATAAAGTAGCTATTTAGTTTTAGGGAGAAAGGGTAGAAAATGTTTGAAAAAGGACAGATTTCACTATCCAGTGGATGGTCTCCTATCCAATCCACTGCACTGGGGAGAACCCACGTGTTGATTGGCCGATTGGAAAAGTTGGTTGAAGAAAGAAAAAGCCCTTATAAAGATAGATTTTATTTTAACTTAGAAGGTACACATATATATTGATTCTCTAATGTCTTGATACAGGGCCAAGATCTTTTTCTGATGAGAGGTTGTCCTTTTACTTGCACAAACCTCTCCTATAATAGAACATCTATAAATTCCATCTTTATTTAACATAGGATAAGAAATTTCAAGTCTGGGAAATAATCTGGCTGTGGGATCTTTCTAGATTTTTGTTATGTATTCCAGCCGCTTACATTTGTCCCAGTTGATCCTCACTACGTGGCATTTTTAAGGAAGTCAGAGTCTCAGATCTTTCCAAGCATTCCACTTAGTTTTCTTAGCAAGAATAACTTTGTTGTGGCACTTACAGTTTACTGGTTTACAGAATAGTTAAATTATATCATTATACTGACACATGTAACTGGTGTAAACCAGTCTGGATACAAACACTGCTGACCCTGATAAGCGGATAAATGGTGTAAGGACCATTCTGCACGGTTGCCTGTCTATCTTGAGCGTCTGGGACGATGTGAATGGCAGTTTTCATGGTTTGTAGAAGAAACAAAAAGCATTGTAAATCTACAGTCTCAACTGGTAGAGATTGTTCATTCAAACTTTTGTAGTGAATACTAGTTGTTCCTGTTGTCTTCTTTCCCTCAGGGACCAGTTAGTGTTCTTTGATTCCTTTCGTCCTGTGTCTGAGGCTTCTGTTCATTTCCACTGCTGTGTGGCATTAGCAGCTACAGACATGGATTCTGATGACAGAATGCTCCTGAGATGGGACTTAAACCCCAGAGTCTTTTTGTTGTTAGGCTACAGCGAGGTTAGGAAGGTTTCATCCATTAGCTGCTTGCTGTGGGGTCCCTGAAGAATCCCATGATATTTTCTTGCTATTGTCTTTTGGCTGAAAGAGGCCAGTCTCCTGCTGGAAGCAGTCACTCCACAGCAAACGCAGGCTGGGGGGAACTCCAGCAGAGGGTCCTGTCCATGGAGGATGGAAGGAGAGGGCTGCTCTTCCTGCCCAGCTTCTGCCCCCAGCCCCTCTGCTCCAGACCCCAGTGCCCCTCACCCTGGCCCAGTTATTCTGCTCATTTCCACCCAGAAGAGGGCTGTCCTCTGTGCCACTGTCATCAAAGCACAGGAGCAACATTACAGAATATTCTCTGCATGTGGGGAGATCCCAAAGAGGAAACCAAGCCCCAGCAGGCCCAGCCACACACCGAAGGAGCCACGCCTTCATCAGCCACCGTGGCGGGCCCGATTCGCACTGAGCATCTTGGGGCCTCATCTCATGTAATCTACCCAGCCAGCGTAGGGGCTGGTATATTTGTTTATTTGAGAAAGAGAGAGATCGCGAGCAAGGGGGAAGGGTAGAGGGAGAAGCAGATTCCCTGCTGAGCAGGGAGCCCGGTGTGGGTGGGACTCG